GTTAAGGGTTAAGAGTTTAGGGTTTAAGGTTTAGGGTTTGGGGTTTAGGGTTAAGGGTTTAGGGTTTGGGGGTTTAGGGTTTGGGGTTTAGGGTTTGGCAGAAGCCCTTCGCAACCTTCATGCAGCCCATGGGCCTCCTTAAAGAACTTGATCTTGGACATTGCGTTGTCATTGATGATGTCTGGCCTTCGAGATGCACCAATGCTTTGGGTTTAGGGCTTAGGGGGAATGTAAGAATTATGTTCCCTTATTTCCTAAACCCTAAATAATATATAGTAGCTTCTATTTTCTTTTTCATAATCCCCAAATAACTTAGGTTGGGCTCCTGCCCACTAATAGTGGCCAAAGAGATAATGGTAATTCTATTAGGGTCCTTATACATTCATAGTATACCACTATTTGTGGGTGGGGGCCCAACCAACCCAACCAATGCTACATTCCACGCAACTTCACTTACTGGCAGTTAGTAGGGAAAAAGGAAACAGAATCCCTGTATACTTCCCATATAATCCCTCTAGAATCCCTACAGAATCCCCATATAAACCTATGTCTTATCCTATATAATCCCCACATAATCTTCTCCCTAAACCCTAAACCCTAAACAATAATATTCCCTACTAACCTCCAGAAAGCTGCAAAAACAGGAGGGTTTCAGGCTTGAACCTCGAGTTGCTCACTGAAGACGTGCGAGAAGCCTCAGAGAAGCAGGCACTGTCCAACCCTACACCCTAATCCCAGGGTTTGGGGTTTAGGGTTTAAGGTTAAGATTATGTGAGGATTATATAGGATAAGACATAGGTTTATATGGGGATTCTGGAGGGATTATAGAGGGAGTATACAGGGATTCTAATCCCTCATCCCTAAACTTTGGCCCTAAAAAGCCTTAACCCTACATTTTGGCCCGAAACCTTAAACCTTGAATGGGGCGGCTGCGGGATTGAGGCTGACATCCGCTTGCTATGCTCAAACCATTATCATATGCTGGCACGCTTCTTACTCTGCTGGCACGCTTCTTACTCTGACGCCCAGTGCTGTTGCCGACTCATGCTGCTTCATTCCATGCTTACACTATGAGTACTGCTGTTACTGCTGCTGTCGCTACAGCTACTGCTACCGACACCATGACCGCCAACATTACTATCATTATTGCTGCCATCCTCTTTGTCGCTATTCTCTGCTGTCATAGTTACAACTTTAAATCTATTCCCCGTGTTTTGCCATGAATGGGCTCCTGCTGATTCGCGCTGGGTTGGGTACATCGCGCCCTGCTGGAGACGGCTCTGTCTTGGCAGTGCTGATCGCCGGGCCTGTGTGAAGCATAGCCCCCGGCGGTTCTTAAAGTCAGGGTTCCTTGCATAACGACGAACATCTGGCAGTGGCCATGGCCTTGAAAAGCCGCTGTTGCAATAGTAGCAAGCGGTCGTCGCAGCAGTCACCACAGCAGAAGTTTAGTAGCACTAGCGAAATAATTCTGACCCGTTTCAATAACAAAAAGCAGAAGCATGGCTGCTTCACCGCGCCGCTCCTTCTGCTGCTGACGCTCCTGCTGCCGCTGCCGCCACCGCCCCCGCCGCCGCTCCCGCTGCCGCCGCTCCCGCTGCCGCCGCTCCCGTTGCTCATCGTCGTCGCCGTCGTTGTAGTGGTAGTAGTAGGAAGAGGAGGAGGAGGAGGAGTAGCGATTTAGTAGCAGTGGCGATTCCTCCTCCTCCTCCTGGTACTGATGCAATGCATAGAGTCAGGCAGACACGTCACAGTTCAGCTGCCAAAGAAGTGGGAATCAATATTGTTATGCTGAATATCATTACTATTATTCTTCTTAGTATTACTCTCACTTGTTGGCCAAATCTCTTCCAGGCAAAGCGCTCGCTGATGCAATCGGCGAGGAGTTGGCGATAAGGACCTAAGTTCTCATATGAGGTTATACTGGGGTTATATAGTAGGAGGTATATGGGGGCTTCCCAAAATCTGGGATCATGGAAGATGAAATGAGAACTACTAGTTAGGGCTTATTTGGATCTTCTTTGGGGTCCCAAAGTATGGGGTACTTTTTTGGGGGGTCCCTAGAATCAGGATTTCGGCAGTCTGCCCATTAATCGAAACCTTAGCTGCTGGCTGGATCGAAGCAGGCTGGCTGCATTTTCTCAGGGGCATTGCCAAAGCCCTCTCGGGCGTGTGATCCCGTGCTCTATTCCACTTGGGCAACTGTTTTTTGCAGCGCGTCATGCTAGCCATCAGAGCTTGCTTAGTGTGTACAACTGCCACGTGAGAATGTGATACAGCTGCCAGTCACAAACATTTCAGTTCAGCACACGTCAGGTCAACCACTCTTGATCTATCAGCTGCGGGGTGCACAGTCCTACTGTTTCGCAAACAGGCATGCATCAACAAGAGCGGTCATTACACCCTTAAGCCACTGGAGGTTTCTCAAAACAGTCCCTATAGAATCCTTGAGGGAGGGCCCCCAAAATCCTTCTCAATCCCCATGCGCTCCTAGATCCCTGAGGACTCGCAGTTCTGAGAAGGCCCTATATTACTATAGTACTATGTGACTATATTACTCTATGACTAGAGTACTATATAAGTATTACTTTGTTACTATATTGCTACTCAACCAGGGGCACTCGTTCTCAGCCGAGATGGCCTCTGCTCTAGCCATGGTACTCAAGATGGACCTGACATGCGGGCTTGGGGTCTAGGCGTTGAGGGTTTAATCTTGGGTTTTATAGGGTTATATAGGGGTTATATGGGGATGATGGAAAAGAAAATGGAATCTACTACAGTATATTGGTGTTATATAGTTTAGGGTTCAGGTTGGGTACTGCCCCCACCCAGTAACAGTCTACATTAGGGGTCCTATTAAGGGCTATATATAACCCCTATTATAAGTATTATCCAACTGTTACTGAGGGGGGGCAGTACCAAGGTCTAGGCGTTGAGGGTCTAGGGGTTCAGGGTTTAGGTGCTATTAGTTTCTACACGCCAGGGACCCCAGACATATGTACTGATTATGCAGGACTTTTTGTGGTTGCATTGTAGAACTCCGTGTAGCCATATCTTCCGAACTCAATGCTGGTGAAGTGAGCCCGACCACACAGCGATTTGAAGCAGATGAGTAACCCTAAAACCTAAATCAAGAATGATCCTGATAAAAGAACACTGTTCTGGGTTTAGTTGAGGGCGAATCAAAAATTATCCTGGTAAAGTTATGCCAGCACCAACAAGGAACCCCGAAATCCTGCAGAATCCCTGCAAAGCCCCCAAATTCCCAGAGGCCCCCAAAATTGAGAAAGATACAAGGGGCTTCCCAAAGTTAGGGGTTCCTGTTTGGGTGTCCCTATGTTGAGGATTATAGTATATTGGGGTCTTGTATTGGGATCCCTAAACCCTAAACCCCAAATTTCTGGAAACGAACAAAAGCAGGTTCCCCCCAAGCCGGTAGCCCTGCCGGCACCTCTCGATGCCTTTCATGTTGCCGCGGGTGGCAGGGTTCCTTGGAGTTTAGGATTTAGGGCTTAGGGATTAGGGCTTAGGGATTAGGGATTAGGGTTTGGGGATTAGGGTTTAGGGATTAGGGTTTAGGGATTAGGATTTAGGGATTAGGGTTTAGGGGTGGTTGGTAGGGAATGAAAGAATGTGTTTTACAGTCGATACTAAAATCCTGACCCTATGTATCTCATAATCCATGCCTTCAGTACTTTAATGCACTATGGCCATGCAGTATCAAGAGCAGGGACCATTTTCGGGCCCCATTTGGTTCTGGATTATATTACGGCACCTGATATTTGGGTGCACCAAATAGGGACCTTAAGTTGGGAACTACCCATTTGAAGGAATTCTATACAGCCGACATATTCTGGATGACCACTCACTCTAAGGTGGAAACCATGGCCCCCTAGCATGGGCCCTTGACCTTGGGATCCTTACATACCTACTATATACCCTTATATGAGCTATAGTCTAAACTCCTAGTATCCCCCTTAATAACCCCTATAATACTCCCCTATATAATCCCCTATATAACCCCCTTTAAGGAGTTTAGACTATAGCTCATATGTACCCTCTTGAGGATCCCTAGAATCCACCTAAGAGGCCTAAGGGCCCATATTAAGGGCCCATACCCCTAAACCCTGAACCCTTAACTCAGATCAATGCCGCCATGCTTTGCCGGCCACCTGCAGGATTCAGAATGGTCCTAGGAGATGCTAGTGGATGCAGGGTTTAGGGTTTAGGGTTTAGGGGTTCAGGATTCACTAAATTTCAGGATTCGCCCAAATGTAAGTCCCGCCCTAAGCCTCAAACCCCAAACACTATCTTACATAGCCCTTAGTCTGCAAACTCACAAAAAGGAACCCTGAATTGCTGCAGACCCTCAACTCAAATCTCCAAAATCCCTAAACCCTCATAGGCATATATTGTCTTCAACCCAGCTATATCCCTTTTGCCCCCTTCCAATATGTTGGGGGTTTCCCAAAATTATGGGTACCTTTTGGGTGTCTCTATCATAAGGATTGCAGCGTTTCGAGGTTGATACACTGGTCTCCCCTACCTAGGGAAACTACCAAAAGGGTAGTTTGACTCTAAACCCTAAACCCCATACCCTCAACCCTAAAACCTAAACCCTAGACCGTAAACCCTATACCCTCAACCCTATATACCCCTTGGGCCGTCTAGGCCCAGAGCTTAGAGAAGTCGGTGTCGCCCATGTCGACGCTGAGCTCCCATTTCAGAGCTGTGGTCTGAAACCAGCCTGCCATTGGTCGTGGTACGCGGTTTAGGGTTCAGGGTGTTTGACTGTTACTGTCAGTATTGATATGACTACTAGTACAATGACTATGTCTACTAGTATTGCTATTACTACCATGCTATCACTGTCACTTTTACTAGTACTACTGTCAGCACTACTGCTACCAGCGTTACTCGTGCTGCTACTGCTGCTGCAACTACTACTACTACTACTACTACTACTACTGCTACTACTGCTACTACTACTGCTGCTACTACTATTACTACTGCTACTGCTACTGCTACTGCTACTGCTACTGCTACTGCAACGGCCGCCACCACCACCACCGCAGCTGCCGCCGCCGCCGCCGCCGCTGCCGCCGCTGCCGCCGCTGCCGCCGCTGCCACCACCACCACAGCCGCCGCTGCCACCAGCACCAGCACCAGCACCAGCACCAGCACCAGCACCAGCACCAGCACCAGCACCACCGCCGCCGCCGCCGCCGCCGCCGCCGCCACCACCACCACCACCACCACCACC